CTTCCAATCAAATGTATTAGTTTACTGTGTAGAAACATCTTATCTCGAAACCTGTCTCAAATTTTTTTTCTCGTTTCCATGAGATTAGAATAGACAGGTTAAACTGTATATATTAAATTATTGTTTAGAGGAAAGTCAGAGACAGACTTTCTAAAATTTTATGAGTCAGAATCAGGCTTGATAAAACCCCTGATTCTGACTCCACAGACCTAGTTTTATATGAGTTTTCAGTTATTTGAGATAGTATCAGTCTACAATAATTGTGATTCTACTGTGCTCACATTGTTTTAAATTAGAATGCTTCTTTGCTGATTCTTCTTTATTAAATTTTTTTATAATCTATAGTTATTAAATCAATGTAAATATGAAATAATTTCTTCTCTAAAAGTATAATGACCACATTCATTATTGAATCAAACAACAGTAAACATAAATTATAATACAAAATGAGTTTAATGAACTCAATCTATAATGTTACAGACATTTATTGAAATTATAATTCTGATCAAAACAGCATCCCAATTTCCAGATAGCAAAATTTTATTTTCAAAGCAACAGAAAATTAATGGTAGCACATCTTGTCTGTTTGAGATCTCTATCCAAGACTTCCGTACAATAAGTTTAAAGTTTTTAAATAACCACATTTAATTTAAATGACTTTGTGATGTATAAACAAACATCATCACTAAACCCAATGTACTATAAAGCTAGACACCAACCAATGCCGAATTCTATTGGGCTAGACATGGCTATATTACTAAATAAATTATGCGACCAATTTGGAATTAGAGGACATCTCTTAATAACTTTAATTATTAAAATTATTAAGAGATGGTGCCTAATGCCTCTTTCTAATGTGAAATTGGTTGCATAATTTATTTAGTAATATAGCCATGTCTAGCCCAATAGAATTCTGCATTGGTTAGTGTCTAGTTTTATAGTAAATGGGGTTTAGCAATGTTTTTCCTAACATTATTATTATTATTATTATTCTCCCATGGTCACCACCTGGTTGTGATGGGAGAGCCCAGTAATTTTACTGATCCATAGGTCAATGCAAACTGGAGCACAAGCTCCTGGTAGGGACACCCATGCCAGTAAGGTCTATGGAAAATAGATAAGTGCTTTCAGTGGTTTTGATACGAATGCCTGATGATTCACTTGATAGTGATGAAATGCCATTCTGGGTTAATCAAAGTACAATTGAACCTGTCTGTCTCAAACATGTTTATCTCAAAATTTATTTTTCCCTCGAGATTTTAGCCTAAATTCAATATATTTTCCAACGTTATCTCAAATAATTTTCTCCCTTATATCTCAAATTATGACTGAAGTGTCAATTACAAATTCAAAGTTCAGTGACTACATTTTGACAGCATAAATTGGTACTTGAGAAACATCTGTTGCAATTAATGCTGCTTTTCTCTGGCTATGAGTTTGCTTGCATCTTATTGGTTAAAAAAAGTCAGACATCAGAAACTATTTTAAGTAAAAAAAAAAAAATAAATTTACATGGCCAACGATTATTTAATATTAATATACTATTTTTTTAATGAACTGCTGATGGTGTGAACAACGAAAAAATGACTGAAACAAAGAATTATTCTTCGTAAAAAGTTGTATTTACTTTTAGTATATTAATATTAAATAATCGTTGGCCATGTAAATTTATTTTTTTTTACTTAAAATGTATTATGTGATTGTGGCAAGAGCACCAGAGGACGCTTTTATCATTTTTTACATTTTAACTACGGAGGCAGTAGCCTAAAAAGGAAGGTCGTCTCCGTGAGTATTTGTTTTTTTAATGAACTGCTGATGGTGTGAACAACGAAAAAATGACTGAAACAAAGAATTATTCTTCGTAAAAAGTTGTATTTACTTTTAGTATATTAATATTAAATAATCGTTGGCCATGTAAATTTATTTTTTTTTACTTAAAATGTATTATGTGATTGTGGCAAGAGCACCAGAGGACACTTTTATCATTTTTTACATTTTAACTACGGAGGCAGTAGCCTAAAAAGGAAGGTCGTCTCCGTGAGTATTTGTGTTTTTAATGAACTGCTGATGGTGTGAACAACGAAAAAATGACTGAAACAAAGAATTATTCTTCGTAAAAAGTTGTATTTACTTTTAGTATATTAATCAGAAACTATTGACAAGCTTTTTCTGTTAAGATATGTCAAAAATGTTTTATTTTATACCTAATACAGGTATGTACCGGTACTGCACTTGCTATTGTATTAATAAAATATTACACTTCCAATCAAATGTATTAGTTTACTGTGTAGAAACATCTTATCTCGAAACCTGTCTCAAATTTTTTTTCTCGTTTCCATGAGATTAGAATAGACAGGTTAAACTGTATATATTAAATTATTGTTTAGAGGAAAGTCAGAGACAGACTTTCTAAAATTTTATGAGTCAGAATCAGGCTTGATAAAACCCCTGATTCTGACTCCACAGACCTAGTTTTATATGAGTTTTCAGTTATTTGAGATAGTATCAGTCTACAATAATTGTGATTCTACTGTGCTCACATTGTTTTAAATTAGAATGCTTCTTTGCTGATTCTTCTTTATTAAATTTTTTTATAATCTATAGTTATTAAATCAATGTAAATATGAAATAATTTCTTCTCTAAAAGTATAATGACCACATTCATTATTGAATCAAACAACAGTAAACATAAATTATAATACAAAATGAGTTTAATGAACTCAATCTATAATGTTACAGACATTTATTGAAATTATAATTCTGATCAAAACAGCATCCCAATTTCCAGATAGCAAAATTTTATTTTCAAAGCAACAGAAAATTAATGGTAGCACATCTTGTCTGTTTGAGATCTCTATCCAAGACTTCCGTACAATAAGTTTAAAGTTTTTAAATAACCACATTTAATTTAAATGACTTTGTGATGTATAAACAAACATCATCACTAAACCCAATGTACTATAAAGCTAGACACCAACCAATGCCGAATTCTATTGGGCTAGACATGGCTATATTACTAAATAAATTATGCGACCAATTTGGAATTAGAGGACATCTCTTAATAACTTTAATTATTAAAATTATTAAGAGATGGTGCCTAATGCCTCTTTCTAATGTGAAATTGGTTGCATAATTTATTTAGTAATATAGCCATGTCTAGCCCAATAGAATTCTGCATTGGTTAGTGTCTAGTTTTATAGTAAATGGGGTTTAGCAATGTTGTTTGTTTATACATACATACGTACATATATATAAATATATATCTTGCCGAGGTTTGCGATGGCTTGTTGAGTGCCTTTGGAGATGTTTACAGGGCATGGGTGCTGGATGCATTCCAAATCGGCATTGTAACAACCATCGATGGTTATAACGTAAGCTTATATATACTGAAAGAGGGTAAATTTATATATACTGGAAGAGGAGATCTTTTATTCAGTAGTAAGTTTAATTATAGTCCAAATATAATCCAGTTTGTAGATGTTTGGTTAATATTATCATAAAAATAAATAGGTGTAATATATAAATAAAATGTATGTAATAGTAATAATAATAAGACTCAAGCAGATTCAAATAGCACACACCATTAAACTTAAACTCACATCATACAGACTTGACAGAACATATAAAAAGCATAGACACCATTAAGCAATCATGGGCTCGAAAGGCACTCCATGGCAGGCATCCTTATGACCTGGCCCAGGATTTTGTTGACAAAACTGCGTCAGACAGCTGGTTAGATCGGGGATGCCTCTTTGGGGACATGGAAGGATTCATGATTGCCATACAGGATCAGGTCATAAATACTAAAAACTACAGAAAACACATACTCAAAGATACAACACTCACAAATGACACATGCAGAAAATGTCACATCATGCCAGAAACTATACAACACATCACTTCTGGTTGCAAGCTCTTGGCACAGACAGATTACTTACATAGACACAATCAAGTAGCAAATATAATACACCAAGAGCTTGCAAAGAAACACAAATTGGCAGACATCCACGAACCATACTACAAGTATATTCCACAGACAGTATTGGAAAATAACACGCACAAAATGTATTACGACAGAGCCATAATCACAGATAAAACAATTTACCACAACAGACCAGACATCACACTCATTGACAAACACAATAAAATCACATACATTATAGACATAGCCATTCCAAACACTCACAATGTACAAAACACATGCACTGAAAAAATTAGCAAGTACACAGAACTCGCCCAGGAAATAAGGCATCTGTGGAGGATGGATAGGGTGCTTATTGTACCTGTTGTTCTCTCCTGTACAGGTGTGATACCACACACACTACACAAAAGCCTGGGAACATTACAATTGAGTAGAAATACATACATCACACTACAGAAGGCCACTATATTTAATACATGCCATATTATTAGGAAATTCCTTAATACTGACACTGACACTGACACACACAATTAATTTTAGTTTTGTTTTGGTTGCTATGCCTTGACTCTGGTCCGGCATAGTACACAGCCACCGGTGTGTACTGAGTATAACCCACTAAACCCAACACACAATAATAATAATAATAATTAATAATACTAATAGCAATAGCAATGTAGGTCATTGTTAAATACTCATTTAAAGCAATTAATATATATGTCATGCCAATATTGATAGATTCATCTAGAATTATAAAAACACACAACTAGAACAACTCCAAGAAAAACATGAACATTAACAAAATATAACAAATAAGTCATCTGTAGAAAAATTTCAGATACAATGTTCTTTCATTATTTGTATATATCTTGCATATTAAAAATTTTTTCTTTTAATTAGTTAAGAATATTTTTCATGTTTAATTATCGAAACTATAGTAATGTTTGAATAATCATAACTTGTTTAATTCATAAATAAACTTTGACCTTTACATTTTAAAAGCAACTTTTATTAGTTTCTGAAACAAAAATTTTAGAGAAGTATTTTGATTTTTGACATATGCATTTTACTTTCTGTGTAGGAACCATTATCATCTCAAGTGGATTCAGTTCCATCTGATGGTGGTTCTCATACTCAACAATCAACTCCTTATTCATCTCTGGAAAGAAAAAGTGTTAATGACTCTAATAGTAATATTAAGTCAGAAAATGTTACACCTGATCCTACATTGGATACAAATCAGTCACATGATGATGTCATATTAACAAAAGCTCACCCAGCTCAAGTTATTTCATCTGAACCATCTTCTCCAGCTCCAGCTGATTCAGTAAGAATGTCCAGAGATGAAAGGTATAATTATTTGGAATAAATTTTCTTTAGTCATAATATCAATATTCTGTTTTTATTTTCTTAGTTTGTTAACATAATCTTTATTTTAATTAAATTGTATAAAAATTTAATATTTTTTATTTTTTAACTTATTTATAGACATATCAGAAGCACCCATTTTAATTACCAAATAAGTTAAATTTATAATGTAATAAAAATAATTAAGAATATTAATAAAACTTTTATTTCAAGAGATAGAAAATTAAAATTTTAGATATAGCTATCAGAGGCATAAGTGATTTTTTTTTTTATTGCAAAGAAAGTAAAAAGATTAACAAGATGTTGATTGTCATTTACATTCTTTTCTGTGAGTAATTCAAGAAAGAAATAATGTTAGTGTTAGGCATTTGGGGGCAAAAAAGAAAGGAAAAATGATACAGTAAATTTTAAAAAGGGACAAATTAGTGCAAATATGGGAATGTGTGCATTAAGTCACTCATTATTAATCCATAAGTGCATAAGTCACTCATTATTAATTCATAGTAATAACTGATAATCATTATGATAGTTTCATATGCAACTAAATTTTTTCAAATCTTTTACATTACAAAATGTACACTTTTTAACATGGCGTACTTTTTATTTTCTAAAAATAATTCCAAAAAATGACCAAATACTCATCTTCATCACTTATATTTTTCTCATTTAAGACATAAAAACAGAAAATTTATAATTGTAACTTTTAAAAAGTATTTTTAATGGCTCTAAAATTTGCAAATAATCCAATTGCTACTTTTTGCCCAATCTGGCACACTGATTGTGATTTGTGGCTTCCTTTTGAATCCCTATCCAAGATTTGAGTGCTGTGATTGTTTTCTTAATATGATGTGATACAGAAACTGAAGCAGCTAAAATAGTGTTAGGGTATAAATTTGGTGCATTTCAGTGCAAATTTTGGAACTGTTTAGGGAGCCTATAACTTAACTAATGACACTTTGTCTTCTTTTTCATGCCCAGTTTAATTGATGCTGCACGGAAAATGTCTAATCTAGTTATTAATAATACCAAATGATACACTAGATTTTTATTGGATTATATTAAGGCTAAATTAATAATCAAATACAAAGCAATTTGGCTGGAGGTAGGCAATTAAGCTCTATTCAAATAAGCTCTATCCAAATTAAAAGATTAGCAAGTATGCTCTCCATGCCAACTTAAAGCATCTCCACTCAGCATTGTCAGTGACTAATATGATTATATCTTAATTAATTAATAGTTCTGGAAGTGAAGATTAGATGGAGAATTATAAATAATTTTTAATTTAAAATATTTTGTAACAAAAGATTGGCCTGGAGTAGGACTCAAATCCAAAACTCCTGTACTGTGCAGATGCAATGCCAGTTATGCTACCCAGATCAGATAGTATAACTGGGTCAATCTTATCTTCCAGAATATTCTAAATTAAAAATTAAATTATTTCTGATTATTAAATTTATTATGAGATGGCAACTAAACTGTGTACCTCTAGCCAAAGTTTTTTGTATTAATATCTAATTATTAATTAGCTTTAGTATAGTCCAATAAAAAATCCAGCAGATTGTTTGGTACTAAAGCACTGGTTAAGTGCAAAAAATTGTCTGATAATTCCTTACTTCATCGTTTTAAAGAAGCATATCAATGTTAATTCACTTTCTCATTAAAATTAATGGAACACATGAATAAAAAATTTTTAGAGTAAAGTTTAATGAGAGCATGAATTATTAATCCTGTTTTAATTATCATTCATTTTCATGAAATAATTAATTAAATAACCTGACAATTAATTCAATTAATTTTAATGGTTTAAAGAAATTCCACTCTCTAGGAGAAAGGTTTAAAGGTCCACTCTCTAGGAGAAAGGTTTAAAGAAGGTCCACTCTCTAGGAGAAACCTTTAGTTTTAGTTATATAATTAATTTTATACATGAGTCTAATTTTAAGATTGAAGATATGCAGATTATTTGGTACTTACAAACAATTTCCTTTATCTATGACAGTTATATTTATCATGAATATCTTTTGCTCTTTTACTTTGCACTCTTATCAAGACTGTAGACATCTTGAAATGAGATTTTCAACAAAATGGTTACTCTATTATATACAAAGCTATATAAGAGTTATGCTGAATAACAAAGTTAAATTTTCCAATTAAGCACATATTTATTAACATACAGATTCTGAAATACTGAGATATTAAATCTTTTAATTTGCATAATAATTACACACACTTAAAACGAACTGAGATTTTAAACAGAAGCTATCTTTTGTAAAAATCTTTTAATCATCTGCTGTCTGAATTTTTCTCCATTTTCTATGCAACAGGAATTTACTTCATACTTAGAAAATTTTTTAGTGTACTAATGAAATTATAAAAAAAGTTTAATTTTAAAGATATTAATCATTGTAATAAATATTTTAAAAATAATAATGTGAAGTTCCTGCTTATTAATTTCACACTTTTTTTCTTTTATCCTTAATTTAGTTTCTATTTAATAGGATTTTCCAAAATGAAAACTACCATTTTAAATTATTGTAATTTATTATTATTATATTGTAATTATTATTTGAGAATGTTGTAATTTACATTTGAAACATTGAAATTTTCAGATTTACCTATTACAATTTTTCAGTGTGCACCTTGTGTAACACAGCACACATCCAAGCAAATTCTTCCTAAATTTGCTACAGCATATCCATTGTGATATGCTGTAGCAGTCACACCTCTTTTAGCAGCCGCAATTCTACAACTTCTGTAGATTACTCATTTTGCACAGTGATTAGTGAATGACTTTCTAGGATAGGTTATAGCCTTTACAAAACACAAAATGCCTTCTCTATTGTGTTGTTGCCATTTTTTTTATGGCACTTTCTAGAAGTAGTAGACAACAAGACATTTGAATGCAGATGGGAGATGAAACTTGGACAGTTCTTTTATTGATTGATGTATAGTACATGGCATATTTCTCAGTTAATAATTAACATAATTACCATAGATGAAATTGCCAGGACAATAATTGTAAAATTAATAAACAATTTAAGACTGTACAATAACACGTCTTTTGATGTTCTTTCTCACACCTCGGGAAAATAACAGTCTTACGACGGAGTCGACCATTTAGTAGAGGCTGCTCATCCACCTCACTGAAAAATGTTACAGGACTTCCTTCTGTAAAACTCTTATTTTCCTGAGGTGTGAGAAAGGACAGAAAAAGACTCATTATTGTATAGTCTTCAATTGTTTATTAATTTTTTATAATTACAGTCATTTTAAATGGTAGCATTCATTTTGAAATACCTTGTATTTTGATTTCTTATATACAGATGGGTATAAGAAAAATTTAAATGTTTCTAGAAAACTAAACAGATCCTTGATTCACAATGTCACTATTCACACAACAGCTACATTGTGCTACATGTGTTATATTCACTGATGAAAATGATCTGAATAAATATGTTCATTGCATGTAAAATGTCCTGACATCATAAATTGTATGAATATGATTTAACACACAGACTTTGTTTTCTCTAACCATTTAAAATTTTAAAATTTATTAATAGATTCTAATTTATTGAAATAATATGAAAATTGTAAAAATTTTCAGGTTGTCACCAAGAGTGACGTCTGATCGTATGCTGAATAAATTGAAACCTCTTCCTCTTCCTCCACCTCCACCTCCACCTCCACCTCCACCTCCTCCAGCTTCTTTAATTCCACTTCCAGAAGGTCGAGATATTGATTGGCCAAGTCTAGTTGATACAGCAACCAAAGCAATGGAGAGTAAGTTGTTTTCATGATTAGTTTTGTATATATGATCATGTGTGAAATTAAAATAATAAAACTTATTAAGAAATATAAATTTTTAATGTGTATTTAATTTGAAATATAAATTTAATAAAAACCAGCATTATATGATATTTATTTTTAAGGTCATTTTCAATAAATAAATTGCATTAGTTTTCTGAATATGTTTTGAATAAATCATAAGTAACAATTCTTATCTCTTTTTCCACTACTCATGAGTCATGAGTCATTATATATATATATATATATAATGTACAGTAAAACCCTGTTAAGAAGTTTTTGAAGGGTCCACTCCTCTAAAAAACTTCTTAGGAGGGAAAACCTCTTTTATAGGAATTGTAAAAAATATAATTTTTTATCTATATAATGAATTTTATTTCAATATCATGGTATTATAACATAGCACAGTGTAACATAGTTGAATAGTAAGATGCATTGACTACAGCAAGGGATGAAATGATTGGTGTCAATATGACATGTCAATAGTTAATGAACAACATTGGATAGGGAGTTTGGCCAAAACAATAAGACCTCAGCTAATTTAGCAAACTATCTCAGGTGTGCAAGTGTTTGATATACAATATGGTGAACATCTGGAGTTACTTTACTAAAACTTTATTATTTTTACTAGCTTACTCGTCGCACATTGCTGTGATCTCAGAAGAAAGGAAATTCAAGCAAACTCATTATGATAAAATTCAATTTACATTTTATCATTTTTATTGAAACTTATTATTATTATTCATTTTCATCGGGAAAACATTTCAAAGTGTCGTTTCAATTCTATTTATTTATTGGAGTGCTTGTGGATACACGATATTTTTTGTTTTTCTGTCTGGTGCGTACACGAAAAAATCAGAATGTTTTCCAATGCGTGAGAAGCACAGATTTCTTTAAATTTAGCCCATGTACTCGCAGAGATTGTTAGAAGTGTGATATTCCCCATTTTTATATATATTTTTTAAATCCTTTATAATTTTGATTATTTAATTGCTCCTTCCTCTCTTCCTTGACATGTTGTGAAATTTCTGATAGTTGGATAATAAACCATTTTATTGTAATTTGTCTTTTTAAATTATTTTGAGTTGATGTTAAAATTTGGAAAAGGGGGATCCCTAGATCGGTAAAATAGGCGAATTTCCTCCTACAACTTCGATTGTTGTTCGGGATACAGTTAAGGTTTTAACAAAGTTTAAGCGAATACATAATTAGGAAAAAAGTTGAAATAAAGTGATTAAACAAAAATTATTACAAATATCGTAAATAACAGTTCACAAATGCATATATAGAGATATTTTTTGGAGGGGGAAAATGGTCTTCACAATTTGAAATTGATCGAACACACTGTGAAATGATTGTATACACGCACGCCATCTATTGTAGGATAAATGTACTATGCCAGAAACCTTTGCAGGAATGTATTAAAAAACTTTCCAAAGCTTCATGGCAATTGTACTATGCCAGAAACCTTCGCAGGAGTATATTAAACAACTTCCCAAAGTTTCACGGCAATTGGATAAACGGTGTGGTAATGCACGAAGGACAGACACACAGACATATATTTATTTATATATATATTATATATGTGATAAAGTTATGACATGGAAAAAGATTACGATTTGTCTCCAACATAAACTTCTTAAGTGGATAAAATATTTTCAATGGAGCCCGATATTTTGGAATTTCTTACACAGGAAAACTTGTTATGCAAGAATTTCTTATGTGAGAAATTTTACACACATCTTATAGTGTAAATCCAGGACCAGAGAAATTGGACTTCTTATGCAAGAAGTTCCTAAATGGGTTCTATTGATTTTGTAATAAAATACATTAAAACTGTAAATTTATATATTATGTTATATTATCAATGAATTAAAGAAAGGCATTAAACAGTTTTTATTATAACATCATCACAAGCCCTTTCAACATTGATAAAATATCATCTTCAGGCAAACAACACATTTTTTAAAATCTATTCTAATCTTCCAAAGTTACATTTTTTTCTTTGCCTGAAGATTACATTGATAAATGTTGAAAGTGCTTGCAATGATGTTATAATAAAAACTGTTTAATGCTGATAGACAGTAGTTATCTCTTTAGTTGGATAATATTTTTGGTATGGTGAACTATTCATTTTTTAATATTCTCAACAATTTAAAGTAGCAAATTTTGGTTTTCTCAACAGATTTATAGATTATTGTTAATTTTAATAATAATGGTAATATATTACTCGAGAACTAATTTATTTTTATATATTTTTTTTAACTAACAAAAGTTAAAATTTGTTTTCATTATGAGAGTTACTATTTTGAGTAGAGTAGATTCATATTGTTAAATTTAGCCTATTTACATCAGTTATTGAATATTTTCTGATTAATATTATCATCTTTTCCAGTCTCTAGTTCTTCAACTGATTTTTGTCCAATAGCTACAAGCAGACTACTGCAACATTTACTTTGTAATTTTTCTCACTTTCCCCCCTCATTTGTTTAATCTGAAAGTCTAGCGAATGATTATTTTCTTATAATATCTGCTATTTGTTTTATATAAAAATTAATTATTGTAACGTGAAAATAAAATACAAATTTTAATTCAGTTATTAATCACTTGTGCTAAATGATTAACAGCACTATAACACAGTATGTAAATAAGTTATAAAATATAAATAATTCATTGACAAAAGTTGTCAAAGCATTTTATGTAATTATTAAGTTTTTAATTATTTTGCAGAATGTTTATTTTTAGATATATAACAATTATTAAAACTTCAGAATTTTTAGCTTTTTCCTAAGGACATGTAGAGTAGAGTAAGGTTAACTGAGAACAATTTTTTTTCAATGTTCTTTAATAAGTTCCACGATGTGGAAATTTTTATTTTCTTTATGCTATGTTACAGGCTTATATATAGTAAATGAGTAAAAATATCTATGTCTGAATATACATAACATAAAGTGTGTAAAAAAATTATTGTTAACATGTGAAGTGGCCCATTTAACTCCTATCTTGGTGTTAACTAGGACATCTAGTGGGGTTAAGTGGATACATATGAAAATGCTATGTTAGATGACTCTAAGTAGAAAAATCAAAAGTAAATTATAACTGTTAGCAAAACAACCACATTCACCCTGGTAAAGTGGGTAAAGTAGTCACATGACCCCAGACCTGTCTAGAGTAGGGCAGGTTGAATGGTCCCCCTGTAAATGAATTTGGTAGTGCTGGGATCTAGGCCCCAAGGTTCCTGAAAATACTAACAAGGGCTCTGGCCATCTTTTTAGCTTCCTCTGTGATTCCTTTGATGTGGAGTGTGAAGTTAAGCTTTTCATCAAGAATAACACCTAAATATTTAATTTCCTTTATCTGCTTTATACTATGTGCTCCTAAATGCATGGTCATGGACATGAGCGTAATTATTAAATAAAAAATAAATAATAACATTCCAAACCAATTGGCCCCTGTATGGGATCAAGTGAGAACATAAAGATGGGGTTAACTGAACTAATCCACTTATACCCAACTACTGTTGGCCAAGTTAATCCCACTGTAACTTTCCTGAAAGAAACATATGTTTAACAAACATTGGTGTGTTTAATACACATTTAATTATTGGACCTTAAACAAACACCAGAAATAAATTTAGCACTAACATCATCTATGTTTTGTAAAGAGATAACATTTGAAATAGCATTCCTAGATGAGCTAAAATTTTACACTCACCTACAGTTTTCCATCATTTCCCAGTAGCATCTACTTGGTGTGTCTGAGGGCGACCATGTTACATGTGACATGAGCTCTCTAGAGGGAATCAATGGCAATGATGAGGAAAATTTAAATATGAAAACTAATGGAAATTCTCTTCACCCCTACTGTATATTTTCTGTTAACCCATTCTGAGCCGCGCTTGAGTGTGACTTGAGCACGGCTCAGTACACTGACTACTGTACTTTAAAATTTATTATCTATGAATGACATTTTTATATTTTTTATTGGAAGTTATTTTACACAAAAGTATTAAAGCTTTGTTTCAACAGAAAATGATTATGTATTTTCTTAGTCACTAACAGAATTTGTTTTATTTCCTTCCTTTATTCAAATTTCTGATTTTAATGTTTTAGTGAAGTCGATAAACTAACATATGCTAAAATTAAATAATTTTAGTATTATTTTATGCTTTATTGATATCCAAATAAATTATAAATGGGATTAAGAGTTTAATAATAAGTAATAATAATTAGTAATGATAATAGTAATAATAATCTGTTTCTTTAAATCTTCATTAAACTCTTAAAACCTCTTTCTTCTGTAGTCTTGGCATACTTGATGCACTACTAGTCTTCTCATTTACTAAGCCATCATTCAATCCAGATCTAGCTTGACTTTATATTGAAGAAGCCATATCTGTAAGTAACAATAAAAACAATGTAAACTAGCAATTCTTTTTTCTTATGTTTAGTTAACTGATCTTTTGATTGGTTCATTGTCTTTGTCTTTCCTTCTATTTTATCACAATTTTATCTTACTAATAATCACTAAAAACTAATTCTTTAATAAAATAATAATGACATTATTAGAGTATGTAACAATGTATAATTTAGTATTTAATAAATTGATGGAGTCATAATAATAATCATCAAATATTGAGTTTGATTTCATTTTAGGTTTAAATTATATTAATTTGAAAACTATATTCATTAACAAAACTTTTTAATCTTTATTTAAATTGAAATGGCACATTTCTAGGATCAGAATGCATATGTTATGTTATGGGTGGGAAAACATGTTATAATACAGTTGAACCTGTCTGTCTCAAACATGTTTATCTCAAAAGCCTTTTTTATCTCAAAACTTATTATTTTTTTCTCCTGCATTTTCAGCCTAAATTCAATATATTGATATTTTCCATATTTATCTCAAATAGTTTTCTCTCGAAACCTCTATATCTCAAATTATAGATAGAAATGTCAATTAAAGTTTCAAAA